AAGCAGCACTCGCAATCACTTTCGAGCAGTATTCCGCCGTAGCCTACTAGCATCACCGCTTGAAGCCGTACAACTTTGCTATTGGACATTTTTCCAAAATGCATTCTTACTGAAAATATTAGGGGGATCCAACACTTTTCGATTAATGTATTTTCTTTAAACCAATTAATTGGTCTCATTATTCCGCGCATAAAAGTATTAAAGTTATGATTACTGAAAACTAAATAATATTTTACAAGATATTTTACATTTTGTGTCAAAAAATTGTTAACTTCAAACCCTTATAATTCATAAAGTACTTAACAAATATTTTATTCTAGCGTTTTGGAAAGCTCTCGAGATAAGCTATAAGAATATGCAATAAAATGTAGGGGGTTAAGAAAATACCTTGAAATGACCTTGAAGGACATGATCAAGGTCAAAGTCAAGGTCATCATCTTACTCCTCGCTTGAAATCATAGAACTTTGCTATTGGACATTTTCTCCAAAATGCATTCTAAGTGAAGATATTAGGGGGGTCCGATACTTTTCGATGACCCTGTATATATATATATATATATATATATATATAATGTTTATATATATTAGCTTTTTTCTTTATCTACGAGTAAAAAAGTCTCATAAGTCTCATTTCCAAATAATCGAAATAATTATGTAGTTCAAAACTAAAGTCAATAGAAAAACCGTAGTGGACGACCACTTGTATCAACTTGATGTTATTTTAGCACGTCGCCGTTATTTTATTTACGTTAATTTTTTGCACACAGCAATACATTCCGTTGTTAGCCATTTTCCGTAATCCGGCAATGCGGCAGCTGCATTGGGGTGACATGTCTGCAGTCGCGGGATTCGATCTGACACCGGACGCTGGCACAACTCTGAGAAAGATAATAAATATGAACCTGATGGAGAATCTGGAGAAGTACCCGCGGCTCTTGACCTGCAGTCTAGACGAGTTGCGGATCACTGAGCAAAATGTGATCTTTTTGCAGGTACGAGATAATCAGCAGCAGCGCGACGAAGGAGTTGGCGCTCGAGGAGTCGCTTGAGAGGATGAAAAGCGACTGGGACGACATTTTCTTCAGCACTATGCTGCACAAGGACACTCAGGTCTCGATCTTGACACATTTGGACGACATATTGACGCTGCTCGAGGAACATACAGTCAAGTTACAGGCTATGCGGGGCTCAGCCTTTGTGAAACTCATCGAGGAAGACGTCAAGTCATTCTACGTGTTGCTTCTTCGCATACAGTCGACGATAGACGAGTGGTCAAAGGTAAATTCTTGATAGTTTTCGCGTTATGTTACTAATAGTTGATGTTTACTGGATGAAAGAGATTAATTCGCGCAGTTTCTGATCTTATTGAGACAATTGTCTTTGACGTCTCTCATACAAGACGATGATCTCTCTTCAGTTGCAGATACAATGGATGTATCTGTTGCCGATCTTCTCGAGCAAGGATATTGTGATACAGTTGCCCGAGGAGGAAGTGCTGTTCATTGAGGTCGACGCGATATTTCGCAAGACGATGAAGTACGTCAAGAGAGATCCCAGAGTTCGCGAGACCGCCGGTGCCGTACGTATATCGAAACGTGATTACGTTTAAATGAACTAAGACATGGTCGAGTTGTGGGAGTAATTCCTTTGGGCGTCCCTTACAGATTGGTTTATTGGAAAATATGCTGGAGGCGAACATGATGATGGAGAAAGTCAACAACGGCGTACTGGGTTACCTTGAGAAGAAACGATTGTTCTTTCCGCGATTCTTCTTCCTCAGCAATGACGACATGCTCGAGATTCTTTCTGAGACCAAGGAACCGCTTCGCGTTCAGCCCCACTTGAAAAAGTGCTTCGAAGGAATTAATCGGCTAGGGTACTCTTGCTATGGATTTTCTTCTAATAATGCTTATATTAATTATATCTTTTTTGTTAGTACACACACACACACACACCCCGCGCGCGCGCGCGTGTGTGTGTGTGTGCGTGTGAAATACACCTCTCTACACATTTTTTAAATATTTTATATTGTAAGATATTTCATATAAAATTGTATAAATTATGATAAATTATAATATAATATATTAAACTATTATATATATATATATATATATATATATATATATATATATATAT